ACTGCAGGAGGAAAGCTGAGTCAGTGAATGTGTAAGCATCTCAGCACTGGCAGGGGTCTCCACACGTGTGCTCCAGCACCCAGGGTTGCATCGGAGTAGATCCATGTGGCTTTTCCTCAGGGATGTCTTACAGGAAGTGAGCCTTACCAGCTGAAGCAGGGAACTAACTAGGGCAGCTGCACCCTGGTCCGACCACCAGAAAGCAAGAGACCCGAGAACTAGAAAGATGAGGCTCACTGAGCCATTTATCCCTCCGCCCTTCAATTAACCCCCTCATGTGTTTATTGGCTAGGTTGGCACAATAAACTAACTACCTCATTACCCATAAAAGAATTCTCTAATGATTATGCTGAATATATCATTACAAAATTTGAATACACAAGTGTTTTAGTTTTTCTGCCTATAGAAACAAATTATATCTCTCCACCCTTGCAAAAAGGTTCCCCCTACACAAATTGTGGGTTTTCATATAATTAATTTTAAATAGAACAGACTAATAACACATTATTTTAAGCTTTGTGTCAGCTACTATTTCCATACCATTGATTTGTTTATTACTATACAGTGTAATTGAATACAAATTAGACTTGTTATTTCTAGGGGTTGGAAGAGGCAAGTCATATATGTAAACCTTGTAGAATAATTTCAACTTATGGTTGCTTGACTTTTTAATTCTTTTTTTTTTTCCCTTTTCTTAAAGATGATACTTGTTGATGCCACTTGTTGCTATCATCCTCCTAGCAGAAGATAGTCCTACTGAGAAAAAAAATGAGCACTTTGATCATTCAGTCTTTGAACTTTAACCTTTGACTGGAAGTGACCTATAGGCAATGAAGACTACTTCCTTTTACTGCATTTTTACTTGTGTGCGTTCTGGGTGCATGTTGGTCGCTGGTTCAATCCAGGCAACTGACATGCTTTTGTTAGTCATACAGTATTAATGCAGGTGTCAGGAGATGTCAAATATAATTCCATTTTTTATTTTTATTTTTTTAAGCTTTTGGAAAAGTTCCAGGTCCTCACAGATTGTGCAATACCAGTGACTTCCTTGACGGTTGTGGGACGTTCATTGCCGGCAATGGACGTTGTAAGAGGAAAGGTTTTCAGTACTTCCGCCACCAACAGATGAATGCATGATAAGGACTTATGAATTGAGCTTAGTGGTTATAATGGGATTATAATTAAAGTGAGGGTCCAATAGTACTTTGAAAGTCACCCCAACTGTTTATATTTGGATTCTATGCACTGTGATCCTAAGGTTATCAGCATGAATTAACATGCGTCTTAAAAGACTGTATGAAATATCATTGTGTATTTATTGAGTTGTTGCTATCTGCTGTCAAATTGTTTTGACATGAAAGGTTTTGAAGTAATATTGGCAGAGAGGTACAATATGTTATCCCTATGGTGAAAATAAATTCATTTGTTGTATATAGTTCTTTGAATCTCTGAAGTAAAGGTATGAGTAATATAGGGTATGAATGGTTTAATCAAGGATTTATTTTGGAAGTAAGAAAAATGGCAGTGATGACTCAATTGCTGCAGTCCATAATTTGGGCTTGTAATTTGTACATTAAAGATTTTTCCAAGTAGATTACACTCTGTGACTTCCTACTAGCCATCAGCATGAGCTCTACTGCCTAAACACTATTTCATTTATTTATGTTTGAAAATTCATAACTTTTTTGTTTGCAATCTTGTTTTTTATGTTTTAAGTCAAGTTTGAATGTTACAGTACTTTAATAGAAAACTTTTGGTGTTTTTTTCTTGTAAATTTTCTTTAATGTAAGTATCATCTTGTCTTCAATCCTGTACCCTAAAGTAAGAAATACATTTTTGACAGAGGCTTAATGTTTTAACAAAAGTGTGGACATTTTTATTTTAAAATCTAGGCAAAAAGTTCACTATAAAGTGGTATGTTTGCATATTTGTCTCACACAATCATTTTTTTCTGGTGGGATTTGTTTTGTTTAGTTTTTGTTGTTTAAAAGTCTTTGCTTACAGCTAGAGAAAATTTTCTATAGGAAAACAAAAAGTTGGTGAAAGGTCCAATTCTCAGTACTAAGTAATTTAATGATACTGCAACTAGGTTCTCTTTTTAAAAAGCTATTAATGTATTTTATAAATTGCCTTTTTCACATATGCAAAATCTGTTTCTACTACAATGTTATTTTTACTAATGCCTTATTGTTGAGCTCTTTTAAAAATATCCTACAGTAAATATGTGAATCAATTTGGGCTTAAAAATAAAGCCAATTGCCTGAGAGGTTCAAAACATGTACCCTAACTCAATCATACAATCAATAATTGGCACAGAATTTTAAAAGTATTGTTTTTAATCTCTGTATAGATGACATTTTATAGCTTTGTACATGGTGTTAACTAAGGGCATGTAATTTTACACTCTAAAAAAGTATAATTGCTGAACTCAGGGGTGGATAGACTTCAAAAATAAGTCTGCTATAGAAATAAACTTGAAAACAAGTCAAGCCACCAAATTGTGGGCACTGTTTATAAAACTCCTAGTTAACAACTACCACTTTTTAAAAAGGATACACATTTTTGTTCCATCGTGACTAGATATGCTTAAGTGTTCACAGTGGTCTCTTTCAGCTGCATGAGTTGGCCTGTTTAACCACGACAAATTTTTTGGAATGCTTTGAAACTACTCTTAGATTTTGGCTGCTTTTTAGTATGAAATTTACAGCTGTGAGTTATGTATTTTCATATTTTATGTAATTGCTCAAAACTACTGATTGACTTGATCATTTTCCAGGAAAACAAGTAATTCTCCAGACTGATGGTCCTCTTACTAAAATAATTTTACAAAGAAATGACCTGTGACATTTATTCACCAAAGCAATTAATATACCAGGTCGGAGATTAATAATGCTTTACGTTCTATTAATAGGTCATAGATACACTCATTTGAGATTTTTTTTTAATTAACAAAAAATTTTAAAATTAAGAATGTCCATATTTTAACATACCGCTCTCTCTAGTTACAAATATTATAAAATAGATAAAATGAAGCAGACAAAAGTAATGGAAAACCAAATAATTTTGGTAGTTTTATGGCTTAAAGAAAAGAAAATACAGTGAAATATTTAAAATGTTGGAATTTCATCCATTCAGAAACATAAACAGATAAAATTTATTCATTATACTCTTTGGATTTAGGAATTTCTGAAAACACCTTTGCACTTAGTTATTAAATTAATTTTAAATATACATTACATTATTAAAAGATGTAAGCCCTTTGTCTAAATCATTGCTCTAGTAAGGGTGATTAATGGTTTGCTATAAGAGTGTTTCTCTGTAATGTATTGTTGACTAACAATGAGAATACCAAGAAATTGTACATAGGAACAAGACATTTCCCTTTTCCCTGCTTCCCCTCCCTTGGGCACTATTTGCTACATAGGCCTACAGGATTATACTTTCATATTTAGAATAAGATGTACTCTCTTCCCTTTTATTTATTTATTTATTTATTTTAGGCCATCCTCCAGTTTGCCAAATTCTATTAAGACAATGATACATTCAGTTCCTTATTTATGTATGTTTAGATCATGAACTCAGTGCCCTTTTAAAAAAATGTCAAGTTAGGTATCTAAAGCTATAGATTTTGAAGGGAAATTGTAGCTATTTTTTCTTTTAAGAGAACTTTAACACATTTGTTGATGACCTTTTTCTTAAAGAATTAATATTTACCTTTAAAGTACTTACTTTTAATGTGTAATTCCTTACTTTAGATAGTAAAGAAATAAAGCATTTCTCATCCCCAGAAGAAAATGCTGAAAATAGCTGTTGGACTGGATGGAGAAAGACCTTAATCCTTACTGTTTTAGCTAGGTATATAAATATTTGTTGTAAAGTAATTTAGAATAGTTTTGTTTTTTTACTTTTTCCCTTAGGAAATTTCAAACAATATGCAAAAATATATATATCATTAGGTTCCCGTGATGGATAATTATTTCTTTGGAATCTGAAACAGGGATCTGGTGACTGCTTAACTTGTTCCCAGATTTCATGAAAGATGAATTGAGAAATGAAAATGACTATAGTGATGATTGAAATGGTGTGTAACTGGTAATCAAGTTATTTTTTTAAAAAACCTATTGTTTTTAAACATTGAGATATTTAAAATTTGTTAAAATTTCTTGCTAAAAATAGAAGAGGTACTGTGTGTTTAAAAACGTTTTTAATAAAGAATTCAGTGTCACTAGATCTAAGCCTTTATGGTTACTTATATTTCTTGATCTTTCATCAGTTTTTTTGGTACATTTTTTAGCTGAATTCTTAAACTTATATAAGTTGCTTTTAAAGAACTAAGCCATACCATCTTTTTCTGACAACTCATTATTCTCAAAATCAGTTATTGTACCCTTCTGTGTTACCCCAATGCCTTTAATGCTTTTGTGTGATGGAGGTCTGTGAAGGGGTTGGAATTGTAACCATTTGTTCAGTCTTCTTTGCAATCGTTGAGGTGCGCGCCATTTTCCCCCCTGATCCTTGTTTACTTTTTACCTTCCTTATTGTTTCTTCTCAGATTTTAATGTATCAGTTTTTAGTTATTCTCCCATCTTTAATCTCAATGGTTCTTTTTTTTTTTTTTTTTTTTTTAAGGCTAGGGAATCCAGAGAAGGAAGATTGTTAGGATTGCATTACAAATTATAAGCAAAATACTTGGGGTGTCTGATACCCAGTTTCAGGTAATCAGTAGATGACTAATAAATGTTGATAAATGAACTAGTAACTATAATTTATTTGTTAAATACTAAAATTATTGGAATTTTATTTTATGTTTTGTTGTTAGTAGTTTCCTAAAAAGGCATCCTACTGAAACAATGTTAAGCATTTGGCTGCTCTGAGGTCAGCAGTTCTAACCCATCAGCTGTTCCACAGAAGAAAGCTGTGACAATTTGCTTCTATGAATATTTATAGCCTTGGAAACCCTATGGGACAGTTCAACTCTCTCTTGTAGGGTCTTAATCACTCAGAATTGAGTCAGTGGCAATGGTTTATCTTCCAAAGCCTGATTATTGCCCAAATAACTTGTGTAGTAAACTTTTTTTTCTCATTTAATTGTTTTAGCCATTTTCAGATATTGGAAGTGGTCTGTGAAAAATTTTTACTTTGTCAGCATATATTATATACTGATTTAAAGGTTTGTGCATATCATTATATATAAGACACCAATGGAATTTAAACATATTTCTCAAACAGCTCTGTGTTCCTCAAGTTGAAGTCATAACCTATTGGATTATCTATTATCCCAAGGAAGGTGTGAATTGTAATCTGAATACTCCCGTATGATAACATGAATATTTTTTTTAGTGTCTCTGTATTTGTTTCTTACCATGAATATCTTTTTTATGAGGAACTATTTGTCAATAAAGCAGTATCTAAAGCCATTTGTTCGGTGGAAGGAATGTCTGAATAGAAGACAGAATGCTTTTAACATACCTCAAAGGACTTCTCTAGCTTTTACAATTTGAATGCATAGTTAGTTGACTGAGGAAGAGGATAGTGAGTCAAATCTTGTACGTCTTGGCTTGTATTGTTTGAATTTTGAGAAGGCGGTTCCTCCTATAATAATTTGAAACTTTTTCAAAGGTAAGAGCATCATTTCCAAACGTACTGGGCTTTGACTTAGTGTTATTTCATCACATGTCAGATTTTCTGACATAATGAAAGATTGAATAATTTCGCCTCTCTTGTAAAGCTTGAAACAGGACTCCTAAAGAGTTCCCTTCAGATACCGTGGAAATGGAAATGCAGATAACTTTATTTAGCCAGGACTTGTCTATGTAAGTGCAACTCAACTGTCAGACCTGTCAAATAATAATTTGGATGGATTGTTAGTTAGTACCTAGTGGGCAAAAAGTACATGTTCAAGTAAAAATGAGTTTTTAGTGGGTACCATTTTTCTCTCAATATTCAAAAATACAGATTATGCATTTTAATAATCTTTATACATGAGGGTTTGAATAGGGTGGGCATATATATTTTATAAATTCAAGTTGCAAAATATGTACAGTTACTACTTTTTAAATAGAATATATAAATGTTAATATTGAGAGAAACCTCTTATATATTTTTAAATATATGTATTAAATGTGTTAGTTAAATATAAATTGCTCCGTGTACTTTATGAAATTCTTTAACTTTTTAATAATAAAGCTGTTATTTGTTATTTTCTGTAGACTTGAATACTAAATTTGGTTTTAAATTCAATCTTTATAGTTTACAATGTAAATATTTATTTTGTGGTTATTTTCCTTTACAAAATATTGATTAAAAAAATACTTATTTCCAAAATGAATGCAACAGATTGAAGATAATCACTAATGCCTTTTGTTATTTAACAGATTGTCTTAATAGTGTGGGTGGTTTATTTTAATGTTCCTCGTGCTTTAAATGAGTTCTGATTCAAGACTGGCATTTTCAGAGAAGACGGGAAAAGAGACACCTGGCTACTCAGTTACCTTGAGTCTGGTGTCGCCAAGCTTCGAGTTGTACAATTAATAACAAGGACACGCTGTTAAAGGACTTTTGGATGCCTTTCTGAGTACACAGCTACCTAAGTTGGTGACTCCCGAAGCTATGAGAAGACAGACGGAAAGAGACAGAAGAGAATCTGCGTCCCAGACACTCCTTGCAGGAAGAAGTTTATTAAGTTTTCTGTCCTATAGAGGACCTGTTTACCCCTGGTGCACCTTCTTGTTGAGGTGACTGTGCTACTGCAATGCTGTATGATCTCGGCATGTTCCTTCTGCAGCCCTAAACAACTGGAGAAGTGACTGACCCATTCTTTCTTTCAACTTCGATGCCACTCCTTTCCTTTCTCAGAATGAGTAAATTTCTCCTGCCAAAGTAGGTGAGAATTTTCTCCACTAGTTGTAAACTACTTGTGGCTAAGCAATTTTATTGAAATACTTCTTAACTTCCTATTACCTTAAACAACAAAACTTAAACAACCGAATTGGGTTGAATGTTACAATTGAGGGCTTTCTGTGCTTGGCTAACAAGGCCACAGGTACATATTGGGACTGTTGGGAATGCCTGTTAGTGATGTTTCTGAATTGCTGTGGGGATTTCTATTTAATGTTTGATTCAGGTAAGATATTTGTGACAGTGAGAGCATGGAACTCTTTTACTAAAGGGACATTGAACTGAACGAAGGCAGAGGATATATTTGCAGGCAAAAATCAAATGTGGATGGATGATATAGCCTGCAAAAGTGTCAACACTCAGCATTTTAAGAGTTTTATTACCCATTTCTATGCTTAACCTAATAAAATTATATATCTCTACCTTTCCTTTCATAACTAGTGCCACACTTGTTCAGTTGACCCAATGGAAAACCAGGTACTACTCCACTCAACTCATATTTTCATCATTACATCCAGTTGAGTCTGCCTTTACATATTTGTGAAATGCCTCCCTCTTGCCAGCTCTCCAGCCATTACCACAATACTGGCCCAACTGTGTAGTGTCATCCACACACACCTGGTACCTTCACTGCCGTCCATGGTGTTGAACTGCCCCTGCAGCTTCCCCACACTGATTACTGTCGTGGGAAGTCTTCCTCCCACAAAGCAGCTGGTGGTTTCAAGCTACTGACTTTAAGTAGGAACTCAAGACTGCATTGTACTTTGATATGCTTTCCTGGTATTAAATGTTCATCATGATGCTTTTCTACCTGAAGGGTCAAGTTCAAATATGTTCCTGTCCTTTTCCCATCTCCCTACCAGTCATCGGTCCCAAGGGCTCACTAACAATAGGGACACAGTATCAGTTGTGTATGTGTCCCGAGCACCTAGCATCTAGATTTGTGTTATATTCCAGCATTCTTAAACAATTCAGTTACTGAATGTTATCAAATGTATCAAGGCTGATCCACTGTTTGGGCAACATGGGACTACCCAGAAAGCAAAGCCCACAATGAAGTTTCTGAACTAACATCCCATTAGTAAAAACAAAACTCCCGAGCCCAAAGGAGCTGTGTCCTCAGGGTAAAGGTAAGTAAACTGAACAAACTAACCCTGGTTCAGACTTGCACCCTGCATCTGATTATGTCCTATGTGGTTTGGGAATATCAAACCTTGGGCTTGGATTAAGGTGTAGTTCTGGACTAGTGTTCTCGAAGATGGGTGTGGACAAGAAGAAAGTCAAAATTGAAGACTAGAACGTCAAAATTGTGTTAAAGCATTTATTAACAAGCCTGCAGGAGACACGGGAGGTATGCCATGGATGACAGTGCCTCTTACAAACAAGTTTTCTTTTGTACAGTTGTGCAGCCATGGTTGTAGGAGCTCTTTCCTGTTGTTTCTATGCACAGTGTTAGGCAAAGGTGGAGCCTGAAAATTCAAAATGGAGTCCAGAAAGGGCATCTGGGATGTTTGACTTAACTTGTTCAGTTGAGGAGCATATGCAGGACTTTATTCTTAGGTCAAATCCTGGGTTAGTGCTGGAACTGCCTTGTTTTTTCAGCACATCTTTTATGCTGAAAAAGCCCCCTCGTTTTTTGTTGTAAAACTAGGTTCCTTGGCTTTTTTTTTTATTAAATAATTTCATTGGGGCCTCAAACAACTCATCACAGTCCATATATCCATCCATTGTGTGTCATGCATATTTGTACATTTGTTGC